CCACTTTTTCCAAAACATCCGCTTCTTCCAAAGAACGCAGTTCTCTTTCAACTTTCTTTCGTAAATGATATGGAATGCGTCTATGATTTTGACTTACAGGCTTGACATTTGTGTTCACATGTAATTTGATTCACTTAGCAGAATATTTATCCATCCCAGTGAAAACATTTGCATATTTCTGTACAATTGCTTGCACCGAGACCGGAACACCTGGAATATTCAAATCATTAGTACTCAATCCCATCCCAATATTATGAAATACAGATGTGCGAGAGCAACCTTGTTCAGAATTCGAAGAGATATTTTTTTCGACAAATGATACAGTATTAGAGTGGCTAGGGTTGATCTAACCCAAGTTGACTTGCGGAAGGGTATCCTAAAATAGACGAGTCCCCAGTATCAACGACCATGAATTTCAGATTTTCAAATCGCCCACCCAAGTCAACATTAGCATTAACAGTACCTAGTACATCTACTTTCTGTTGATTTCCATATGTAAATACATTTTTGTTGGTTGGCACAAGAGTTACAGTATCACTTATAATTCCGAAATCATTTCTGTTTAAAACATTACAAGATGCACCCGAGTCTAACATAAATTCAAGGGAATTATTCACATTCAACTTAATAAATCGTAGCTTCCCACCATATTTATCATGGACATTAAACAAATAATCATCATCACTAGAATTATCTGATACACTTTGGTCTGTATGGAGGTGCTTAATTTCTGAATAATGTTTGTTTACCTTAAACGAATTACGATCAGTTCTGTTCTTGCAAACTCGTGATTTGGGACAGCAAACAGCAAAGTGTCCGAGTTCATGACAATAATTGCACTGCTTACCCTTCGCTTGACAGTGGCCATCATGTGGATAATTACGCCCACAGTAGAAACATCGACGCTCCGAACCTGTAGACCTTGCGTCAGAATGGCGATTCTTTTGGTTGGGCCAGTTATGCTGTACACGGCAAACAGTGGCTCGATCTTGAGACACAGTATTCACGTAGTCATGTCGTACATTTTCAATGCCATGTGCTTCACGTTCGGAAATTTTAAGGGTTCTGGCTAACGTTATTATTTTATCAAGGGCCATATCTTCCTGAAGGGCGCGTCGGCGAATTCTGTTACTCTTCCCACCTTGAATAATTTGATGTTTGATTTCAGCTTCCTTCGCTGTCCCACAGTTATTGACAAGTTTGCGTAGACGTGTAACAAACTGATCAATTGTTTTGTGTGGGCATATTGAAATGTTCGCCGAAATTGAAAAATCTCATACTCAGTATTTTTCTTAGGGTGGAAATAGTCCTCTAAAGGTTTCACAATCTTTTTGTAAATGTCATCATATTCTGGTTCTGTTGGCATAGTCAGTGTTTCTGAGACTTCAAACAAATCTTCTCCTCCCCTGTCTAATAGCATAGCCCTTTTTTGTACTGGGTCTTCAATTTCCCACGCGACACAGCTATTTTCAAATCGAGAGATCCATCTTTTCCATCGTGATGCAAGGGTGCTAGGGTCACCATGGACATCAAATAAAGATATTTGAGCGAGCATGAAACTGCCTTGCATTGCCATAATGAAATTCAGATGGTATGTTCAGAGTCAAATTAAGGAGACAAGTATGTCTTTCTATTGCAAAATGTCTCACCGTGTGGTCTTTTCTGGTTCATAGTATGACTATTACAGTAATTCTGTGCACAATAGGTTCACAAATCCTCGTCGCCAATGTAATACTTCATGGTTGCAGACCAGAGAAAGATACAAGCACACACGCAGCAATCACCAATACAGACCCCCTTTATTGTCAATGTACAGCCTTTATATAAAGAGAGTTACATAACTAACCAGATGGTCAAATACAGGGCAGTTGTAATTATGTATACACATCTATTAAAGCTCATTGACATGCAAATTACTACATCAACGAAAATTTAAACTTACTTGAAATATCTATCAGATTGCTTGCTGTTGGATTTATGTTCGCTCGGCCGCCCAGGATTTCATTTAAGTCATCAAAAAATGGACAAGTTATCTTGTCTCGGCCACTTCTTCTATTATGGTCTGCTACAGTTTTAAATTGCTGCTTCATCTTTTTGATTTTTCTTGTATGAAGTCGATCGCTCGGAAAAATCCCATCTCTTCTAATTTGGCTTGCATATCCTTGTAGGCACTCTTTCTGTTCCGCGGCGATGAGTCCAGCTGTCTCAAGATTTCGCTATCTCTCCATATATACTCAATAACGCTTTTGTTTCTTCATCGCTCCAGTTTTTGCGAGAGAACGCGGTTTCATGTACACTATGCTCGGTTGCCATTTTGGGAATGAGAAAGTTGGATATATTTCGCTGAACTGTGCGTCAGATCACGTGACCCGGCTGGGTGTGATTTGAGCTTGCACGTAGAGGTGGGGACCAGCCAATTGGATATATTTGATCACGCAAATAATGTTCACACCCAAAGGTCGCAGCAGAGGGCCCTTAGCCCTGGCCTAAGCGTTCGCGCACACTTCGTTAGCCCGTGCTAAGGGTCTACACGGCGTCTTAAATTCGGATCAGATTTAACCCGTACTTAGCATTCCTTAGCCCGTGCTAAGCGTTCACGCACGTTTTCTTAGCACAGGCTAAGGAATTTGACCTCTTAACCCGTGCTAAGGAGCTGTGCGTGAACGCAACTATTGACATTCGTCAAAAGTGGCGTCTTGGAGTTGTTACAAAATTAATCTACGGAAATAATGGCCTTGTGCAATCGGCCCAACTCTATACAGCTCAGGGTGATACTAATCGCCCAGTACATAAATTGTACCCCTTGGAAATTATTTCCGATGAAATTTCAGATGTGAACTCTGTTCCACACGAGGATCATAGTCAGAATAGTGACGAAGTAGATGCAAACACAACGCAACCCCCAATGAGGAGAAAACGTCTACTGAGAGACTCAGCCATGACTGCGAGAATTCGTATTCAGGACCTTATGTAAGCAATATGAGACTATATAATTTAAGCAGAACTCTTGCATTTCCAATATTATTGTTATGAGTTTTATTCGAGTTTCTAAATATAGAACATTGAACGATATAATGCGATAATTTACTGAGAAATGAAAGAACACACGACAAACTTTTTGAATACATTTATTCAAAACATAATCGACCCCTTTATACTTTATTGTCAGTCGATTATTAAATAGGTCATGTATTTGTTTTCTTGCCTGCTGCTGGGAGTATTTAGTGGAGTCAATCCATGATAAATTATCTCGATTCATCCTCCCTTTATATCCGACAACGGATTCTGGTGGTGAAGTGAGCAGCCTATCACAAGTGTTTAACTTTGACCAATCACAGTTCGGCCTCGTTTTGCCGCTTATATTTAAAACTTAGTTACATAGTTTACGCCTAAATATGTTTCCTTTCACGTTCGCATAGAAGGTATAAATACCCATGATTTCTGTTATATTTCATGTTTTACCAGTTGCCTCAGTACTCTATGTCAGTTTACTTCGTACTGCAATAAACCTATACTGTGTTTTTGCTAACGTGAACTACGCTCGTGTGTCTCTGTCATTTAAAATTGCCTTTAGCGTGAGCAGTAGTACATTCACTAACTACTCTTCCACATTTTACGATAAAAATATTGTGTATTGA